GAAGTTGACATTTGACCCCTCACCCCACCAAGGGCTCATCTAATAAACTTCACTTGAGCTAATGAAGTAATTGAACAGCCTCAAGATAGTGTTGTGCACTCCTAGCAAAAAAGGTACCAAACTGTCACTGGGGTGATACCCTCAAGGGTACATTTTAAGTACCATTAGTTAGGGAACATAACTGTAACATATTCTGTTGCAATATGTTTTTAAGTTGTATTGACTTCACATGCCTTGTCCTGTCCCCAGCCTCTTCATTTTACTGTTCTGTTTTAAAACATTGGATTGTGAAAAGGTACAAATATGTTAATATAAACTTTTTTAAGGTACACAGTTGGACAGTTGCTGTACCTTTGATTGTATATTTATATTGTTTTACCTTGATGAATGAAAAATATACTTACAAAATACCTTTTTTTTCAAATGGCAAGGCAAAATAGACACAGCCTTGTTAAAACTGGAATTGAAATGGGTAGTTATTTAAAGGTTATGTACCAACAAAAGGTTTTCCGTTGCCCATTTTTAAGAATTTTAATTCATAAGCATGTAAGAGCCAGGTGTAGACTTGAGCTGGAACAAAGCTTTGAGGATCATAGATTCCTTTTTGGAATTTGGTAAAGAAAGAGATTTAGGTTCAACTTAATGGTTGAAATGAAATGTATTCACTTGTAAAACTCAAAAAAAAAAAAGTTTTTATGTGTAATTACTTTGACTACTACTTTGCTTTACAATGCTCTGCATGTATCCCTGCACCATAAGCACATTTTAAAAACACTTGAGGCCAAAACCTTATTGCAAAGCTATGATAAAACAATGGCTCAGGCTTCAGGCAGCATATTTTTAACCATTTCATTTAATAACTTTATGTGAGGTAGCTTCAAGAGACATTAAAAACTTTGGACGCCTGGTTCCTGTCACCACTTCTGCAAACAGTTCTTTCTCTAAGTTTCTCTAGAATGGAGCACTTCACATTAGAAAAGTAAAATCAATGGAGTTCCTCATGTGAAATTGATGTCACAGTCAGGCTTTCCCCAATGTGCTGTCAAATACAAGAATACCTTAACTAAACAGTGTGACAATGTTTTCAAAAGTAAAAAAACTATATGTGATTGGACCTTGTAATATATTAATTCACAATAATCAGCATGTATTCACTTGGTAGCTGTACTTTTCCCATGGAAGCATGTGAACAAGACCCATTTCCAGTTCATCTGAAATACTTGCCAAGAATGATGACTTTAACAGCATGGTTCACAATGAGCCCAATTTGCGTGATGCATTCCAGGGTATAAAATTGCTAAATGGAAGCACAGCAGAAGAAAAGAGGTTGACACAACATTGAGATGAAACTGCAAAGAGTGCAATATTTAAAAAGCTTGCTGTTCAAACTTTTAGATGTGATTTACACTAAAACCTGCCCTCTGCCCAGCTTTCTAGCTATATTTCATTATTTATTTTCTAGAGTGCTTATATATAAAACCAAGACCATAAAACAACTAGAACTGGTCTGATCATTTCATGTTTTTGTGTAGAAGCCTTTAGATGTATATACATATAGTGTATATATATTAGATGTGATACATATAGTCATATACAAAAATTTGGGTGCCCCACTTACATGACTTATTTAGTTGGTTTACGTGAAAGTAACTGCACATATACACTCTTCTGTGCAGTTAAACACACACTTACTGTTTATTTAATGGATTTAACATATTGGGGAAAAACAAATTAAATGTGGCCTCTGCAAATTTTAGATGTCAGCAAGTAAATAGAAATTTGTAGAGAATGCCATATGTAAGTTCCCTGTAGAGGATATGCTATGTTTGTTTACATTAGAAATTCAATGAAACATACTTTGAAAGGGGGTATTCAAGCTTTTGCACACAACTGGAAGAGCTTGCTTGTTCATTGTGTAATTTTGTTGCATGTAATGTGAGGATTAAAAAAATGTTTGTGGCTGACTGAGGCTGAAAGACCAGCACATTTTAGGAGGTGCATCAGTTGAACTGCTGCAGTTCTCTCTGATCTACTAAAGGCATGCCTGATAACTCTTACTGCCTGACGTTTTCAAGGACATTTGACGTCTTCAGTCTTGAAATGATGAGAACTTAAACAACTCTTCCCTTGATAATGATATTAAATAAATATTGTCTGTTTGAGTTTTTTTTCTACTCCAGTTCTAGGAGCACCCTACTCCAGCACAGTACATGTTCTCTCAATTTAACCCAGTTAATTTTTGAGCCCTTTGAGACACTCAGGTGGTGAAAACAACAAAATAATGTAGTACACAGCATCTACTGGGAATGCAGTTGTGAGCTCATTCAAAATTATGAGTTCATTCTTCTCTCATAAATCCCAAAACGCTGCGTCATAACAAAGCAAGCTGGCTAAACAACAAATCTGTGTGGATTTTTTTCTGTAAATTTTTCAGGAAAGTGCTGAATCACGCTTGCATACCCTGCTATTTCATGCTTAACACACTCTGATTAAACTCCTTTTCCTCTCCCTGGGAGGCCAGAGGGTATGGAAGGACTTCTGCACCAACAAGCTGTGTCACCAAATGTGTCCATGTGTCGCATTCTATGAAGTGGAACCGAGCCCATGAGCAGCAGGAAAATGCTTTAAACAACCTTGATATATTCTCTTGTGCATAGGCTGAATTACTTGCTTTACAATGTAGAGGTCTTGTACGTGAACTTAAATCAAGACAGCAAACCATCTCTCAAGTATAGTATGTTGTAATTTAATAGGGGGTTGCATGTCTAAACTGCTTACCATACAAGCACTCAATACACTATAAATCCAGATGTTCTGATTTAACCCCTTAAAGGAGAATTCCACCATTTCGTCAAATTTCTGCATATTAAAATTGATGAGATGTAAACAAAGTTATTCAAAGTGTTTTGATTCAAAGGTGCATTTTAGAGAAACTTACAGACTTGGATATCTTTACAGAGGTGAGTAAAACACCAGGTGTTTCAGTGCAATGAAGATATAGCTATTTTATTTATTGTCTATAAAGATCAGTAAACCTGGACATGTCTTCTGAGTTTTCTGTGTAATGTTGATCTTTGTTAAATAGTTGTAAATCAGAAAAAAAATTCTAAATTTAATGTAATTATTTTTGAAAATCTATATTCTTCTTTAATACTGACGTTTATTTGATGTTACAGTCACGCTTTCCCCAACGTGCTATCAAATAAAAGAACACTTTAACTAAACAGTGTGACATGTTTTAAAAAGTTACCAAAAAGTGTTTAAACCCCAAATACATGGATTTACAGTCTATAACGGGGTCGGCTGGAGTCTGCAAATAGTCATAGAGTTTTAAAATTTTTATGGCATGACTTATTTAGTTGATTTAAGTGAAAGTAACTGCACATATACACTCTTCTGTGCAGTTAAACACACACTTACTGTTTATTTAATGGATTTAACATATTGGGGAAAAACAAAATAAAATGTGGCCTCTGCAAATTTTAGATGTCAGCAAGTAAATTTGTAGAGAATGCCATATGTAAGTTCCCTGTAGAGGATATGCTATGTTTGTTTACATTAGAAATTCAATGAAACATACTTTGAAAGGGGGTATTCAAGCTTTTGCACACAACTGGAAGAGCTTGCTTGTTCATTGTGTAATTTTGTTGCATGTAATGTGAGGATTAAAAAAATGTTTGTGGCTGACTGAGGCTGAAAGACCAGCACATTTTAGGAGGTGCATCAGTTGAACTGCTGCAGTTCTCTCTGATCTACTAAAGGCATGCCTGATAACTCTTACTGCCTGACGTTTTCAAGGGACATTTGACGTCTTCATTTCGTCATAATTGAGGTCATGTTTGCTGCACTGAGAAAAAAAAAACACTTTGAATTTACATTATTCAAATATATTAAATGGTTGCACTTTAATAAAATGTGTTACATCATCACAGTTTGTCTTCATGAAATATACTAAGAAGTCCACATCCTGGAGTGTCAGAGTCTGACACTTGGTATATATATATAAGATAATCCACTTATGCAAGGAAGGGAAATGCTGAAGAAAAAAATTTGTTTATGAAACCTGTAGTTTGAAAGAATTATTAAAAGATGAAGAAAGAAGAAAATGAGACTCCTGACAATCGTGTAAGACCTGGTAGACCATCAACACTGTCCCCATCAGATAAACAGTACCTAAAACGTTCATCTTTGAGAGAGAGGAGAAAATCAAGCTCCACTGTTGCTTCAAATCTGAAAAAATCCATGTGTTTCTGTCCTTCCTTCCACTGTGAGAAGACATCTCAATATTATGGGTCTGAAAGGATATGTAGCTGTCAAGAAGTCCTCACTGAGAAAATCTGCATATAAGAAGAACAAAGATGTCCTCAGAACAATGGACTGGCCACCCCAAAGTCCAGACCGCAACATCATTGAATGTGTTTGGGATTAGATCGTGAGAAGCAGAAAATGCAACCAACTTCTAAGACTGAACTTCAGAGGTGTGGAAAAATGTCCCTGCAGATTTCTTTGAAAAACTGAAAGTAAGTCTCCTGAAAAGAATGGAAGCTGTAATAAAGGCAAAGTGTGGACACACTAAACACAGAAAAACTAATTATATGTAGTTGCTGAGGCTCCAGTTGAAGTTTCTGTTACATATGTTTTCTACTTTTTTCCTGAGGCTGAGAAGGGAATAGTTTGTGCTTGATGGCCATTTTGACTGGAAATTAAATAAAAGATGGTTGGTCTCTGACTTTTGCACAGCACTGTATGTTAATGTTACATTTTTTATGCAAATGTTTGACACATTTGAATCATATTTTTTCAGTTGTGGGCTTCGTGGTGAACAGGTGAAAAACTTTGAAAAGCATTTAAAGGTTTTAAAGATGAGGTCAAATCAAATCGTCAGTCTTTCACCTTGAACCGCTTCCATCTGCTCTGCGACTGACTGACTGACTGACTGACTGACGGACTGACTGACTGAATATTTGAGGCTCCTGCGTCGCTGCCAAGATCGCGTTAGGAGTGACAGGAGCGGGCAGTGACGCTGGCCAGCGGGGGCCAGTGTAATTCATCTCCTAAGTATTTTAAAACGCGTGCTTCGGTTTTGTGCCAATTGCTAAGTGCCGGAGCCGCGGTGGTGTTTGAAGACCAAATTCCGGAGCGCTACCTTGTAAACGGCGAATTACATCCATTAATTAGGATCCGCGTTCGCTCCCAGCCGCGCGTTCAAGCTCAGCCCACTGTGGCGCTGACCGCGGTGCTGAAGCTGCGCCTGAGCTGCTGAGGAGTCACAACAGGAACGTCCTCCTGTCTTTCGGACACAGGTTCTCAGCCCAGTGAGGAGACAAGAGAAACTCTCACACCGAACTGAACACGACGCTGCCATTCCGAGTGAGATGTCGAAGGGGAACCTCCAACGCCTGCGAGGCTTACAACCGGGCTGAGCTGAAGATTTCACCTAGAGATTCAAAGACCTGATGAGGGGATTTAATCAAGACACTTGAGACAGATGACAGGACACGGATGCGTCTGGACGTGCTCAGAAAGTGTCCGTGAGGATGACCTCTTTGGCCAAATATCTAAAGTTAAGTGACTTTCTTTAAACGTCGACGGCTGCGCTGTGTTAACTTCCTCAGTCCTCTCGTGCTGTAAATGGAACGGACGGACGGATGAAGGTTACCTGAAGCGATTTGGATTCTTTTACGTTTACGAGACGAAACAGTACCACAAGCAAGACATGGCTCGCCTCTTTCTTCTCCTTAACTCAGTCGCACTGTTGCTCTTTGGCACTGACATGTTTCTGGTTGGAGCAAGTAAGTTCCACACATTTCTCTCGAATGTGAGCGATTTCCACAGCACGCTTTAGCGTTTTTCATTCACTGATTAGCGTCTATAGAGGAATTCAGCCGTTTGGCTTCACGTGATTGTAGCCTTGTTGAAACGTGATCCGGAGTCGTCAGCTGAGAGCTTCAATGGACGTTGGAATGGTCGCTCTCTGTGGGTGGTTTCTGTGCTTTCAGGCTTTCATTAGACCTGTTGGGGAGTGAGACCTGCTCTGAATACCTTATACTACTGAATATTACTGCTGATCGTCATTTCAAACCTAGAGGAATTCGAGTATTTTACAATGGAGCGCCGGTCTAATTAGATCGTGGGCTGTCTTGACACGAAAGCTGTACTGTGATTGTTCTTTGCAGTCTAATGGTGATGTGCGATTATAGGCTTTAGTAGTAGCCTACAAGTCACAGTACTAGGATGTAAGCTGTAAACAGCGTGTAGCCTTAGGCGATTGCGCATCGCTGGGGTAGGATTTATTTGATTTATTAACTTAAATAGACAGAACTATTTCTGACTACTGAGTCATAGCGTCAGATTTTATGTGAAAACAGGCCAGTGTGTGTGTGTGTGTGTATATATATATATATATATATATATATATACATACTAATATATATATATAATATATATATATATATGTACACATGTGAGAGCATTGACAGGGGAAAGTGATGGCATTTATGTAATAATAATAATAATAAATAATACTAATAATAATATGTTACTGTCATGGGTTATTGGGCGTTCATTGTCTGTTTACACACACACACACACACACACACACACACACACACACACACACACACACATATATATGTATATAAACAGAAAGACAATGATTGGTATTGGTATTGGTATTATTATTTTATTATTTTTTTAATACACAAAAGCCATCATTTCCCCCTCACTGGCAGCACACTGACAGTGTGGCACCTGCCAATGCTCCAGTTAGATTTCTCTAGTCACTGCTATCCACATATTATTAATAAGCAGAAGTTCCTTGCTCCTTCCTCGTCTCGCTCTCAGAAAGTCATCGGGGATTTGAAGCTTTGATACGGCAGCGATCGCGCGCTCCGTTCGCTCCATCTCCGTGTAACCTGTTTGAAGTCCTCGCGCTCCCCGAAGTCAAAGTCGCACGCGCTTTATTCTGCAAGCAGGGCACGAGTGCATCTTTAATCTGCTCCTGGAAAAACCCGCCAAGAACGGCTGAGAGAAACAGAATGCATGTCAGAATATGTAAGCATTAAAATCTAATAACCTCCCGAGGTAGAATGCGAGAAATGTGCAAGAGCTATTACTCATCCCTGCCGTGCACGTGGTTGTTAGAGTGAATCTGGCTCCAACTGGAGTGCCAGTGTTTGGGCTTCGCGTTAGAAAATGTAATTAAGTTCTATAGAGAAACTGCGCTAATTAATGCCTTCCTACAAGTGGGCATCTGCAAACTCCCCTCAAAAATGCTGCCAGTACACAGTACAATATATGTCCAGAAGTATCCAGACACCCCTACTAATTGAAAACATAAAGCTTATATTATCTTCAAAGAAAAGCACAGGGTGCTCTGGAGTCTTAGGTCACCATGCTTACTGCCAAGAGCTGACTTGACATTGGTATACAATAGTGGGCGATAAATGCTCCAAATGGCAGACAGTGGTTCCATTCTCTGCCCTGACAAGCACACCATGCTGCACCTGTAATTGTCCTTGGCCAAGACCCCCAATGCTACATTCCCCTACATCTGAAACATGATTAAAGTGTAAGTTGCTCTTAATAAAAGCATCAGCAAAATGGGTAATTGAAATGGGGCAGTACAGTGACGGAGCACCATCTAGTACCTTTGGGGTGAGTTGGCTTTAGAACTTCATCATCTTTATCATCCAACATCGGTACCTGACCGCACTAAAGCTCTTGCGAATCCTCAAAGCAATGTTTAGCTACCCTACAGTCTTAAAAAAGACAGCACTTTTAGGGTTCTTTAGTAAAGAAAGTTGTTCTATATAGAAGCATGAAGACTTAAAGAACCCTTTGTCTTATTTTATGAGTTCTTTGCATCATGCAAGCGTTCCTCAGATTGATGAAGAATGTGCCGTAGATGGTTCTATATAATACTTTTATTAAAAATGGTTCTATATAGTACTCAAAATGGTTTTTCTATTGTTATTGTGGCAAGCTTGTAACAACATAGAAGAACACTTTTCAAAAAGCTTCTACATAGAACCATACATAGCACATTCATGCACATTTGCTATTAATCCAAAGAACCATTTCATGATGGAAAGAACCTTTTAATCAGGCAAAGGGTTGCTTAAGTGTTCATGGTTCTATTGAGAACCATTTTCTTTACTGAAGAACTCTTGAAGCACCATCTTTTTTAAGAGTGAAGTGTAAGAGGAGTAGAAGCTACTACTGCAGCAAAGGGGGAACAAGCGTACTTGATTTCAGAAGAAATGTTAGATTAGCAGGTGTCTACAAACTTTTGGACATATAGTGTATCCTAAATGCATCACTGATTCATGTTCTTTAGGACTGGAATGGTTGAAAGAATTGTGGATTTGCTACACCAACGATTCTCTCTGTCTGAAAAAAATGCTGCTTTATAACTCTCTCTGTCATTTTGATCTGGGAGAAAAGTAAAATTCTCTGACAGAATGTTCTGAGAGGGGACGGGGGAGGGGTGGTGGCATGACAGATGCACAGATGAGCATGGTCACTGATTGCATTAACCTCAGCTTGGCACCTGGTTTCATCTGGGTCCCTTCTGGAGACATTCACACACCGCTGATAGAGCAGACACACGCACACACCGGCCTTATGAGTCAGACTGCACCAGAGGTCACTCATCACTGAGATGGATTTATATTTGTTCAGTGGTGCATGATACTATGAGGGAATATTGTGTCCCAGGGAAAGCACACATGTAGCCCAAAGGGGTGTGTGCATCATGTTATATTCATAACATTGCATTAGATGTAACCCTCTGTCTTAGGAAAATGTTACAATAAACTGTATTATGTTGTGCTTTTAAAAATAAAGATGCCAAAAGGGGTCTTTGAAGTGATGCTGAAAAAGAGCACCTTTGGTTCCATAAAAATACTTTCAGTGGCTAATTCTTTAAAGACACACTCCAATGTTTTTCAACCTTTATGTGTATGGTGCATCAGTAGCAAATGGTCTCTACCACAGACAATAAAATTTATGATTTTCCCAGAAAATCCATTGACTCTAAACATGCTGCCCAATGGTTTATGTAGTTAGTGTGTCACAAGACAATAGACTGAGTCAATAGATTTTAAGTTCTTTTACTAAGTACAGGAAAATGTGTCTAACTTCTTGTCTGTGGTAAGTGACTATATGCTACAGATGCAGCAGACAGCAATTAAGTTAAAAATACTGGAGTATAAAATAATCAATTGAAATGCTCTTTAGGGGACCAAAAGTGGTTCTTCTGTGGCATCACTGAGGAAACCCTATTGGCACATCATATGACTGTACTGTAATTCTAATACTATAACACAGCTGAATATTTAGTGACATTCTCACTTGTTAATTTGATCTGTGGCATTTTTGCATAACCCTTATTGATAATTACCCAGCTGGATTCAGTGGTCAGAGCCACAGTCAGTTTCATTCCTCCACCTTGGGTGCTTTACTCAGAAAGCTTAAAAGGAGTGGTGCCAAATGTAACCACAAAGGGCTCTTTGGAGCCATGCCATAGATAACCCACTTTTAGTTCCGTAAACAACATTTCAATAGATGAACCATCTTTGTAAATGGGATGAGAATGTGAAGAACTTCAACATGATATTAAATGTTGTCCTGGAACAGAACATCCAATTAAAAAAATATTTTGGAGGCTTTATGATTGACAAATAGCTGGTAGAGAGATCAATTAGTTAAAGAATTAGTCCAGTCTCAAATTTTGGGTGCCTCAAATGAAAGCAGGAAGAAGTTTGGGTCAAATTAGCATTGAAACTGTTTCCTAGAACCAAACAACCAAGCCAAAAATCATTTAAAAACCTTTATTTTTAAGAGTCTAGACTTTTCTATCCCCACTTATGCTTTTAGAAATAAAGGTGCCAAAAAGGGTCCTTTGGAGTGGTATCACCAAAACACCACTTTTGGTTCCCTTAGGAACTTTTAGTGGATGATTCTTTAGAGAAATATGTTTTTAAATCACATGGAAGTGTGGAGAGCCTTTTTAAACAACCTCCACAAAGGTTCTACAGTACTGTGCAAATGTCAGACAGCACCATTCTTTTGATTTCCTGTCAAAATGGCAATTGGTTGCATCAGGAAAATAAGCATAAAACACTTTACATAAAATTACAACGAAACCCAGACAACTTAATATAATATCACATAGTTGAGTATTTATTGTGCCTTACCCATCCTTTCAGACTCATAGCATTGAGTTGTCTGTTTACAGTAGAAGGAGAGAGAGAAGTACCTGTGGAGTGCAGCTTGTTTTTCTCTTCTCTCAAAGATGAAAGTTTTAGGTACTGTTTATCTGATGGTGACACTTTTGGTGGTCTGCCAGGTCTTGCATGGCTGTTAGGTGTCCCATTTCTCTCAATTTCTTTTAATCATTTTTTGAACTCCAATTTTGGAAATAAAATAAATGTGCAATAAAAATATAGAGTATGTTTTATGCTATGTTATATGTTATATGCCATGTTACTTTGCAGTAGTGTTTTGCAGTAGGTTTGTAACGAAATTAAAGCTAAGCTAATAGCTTATATATTTTTAGCAGATGGTTAACAGACAGTGACTGTCATTCCACTGATTATCACATAAGGATGGCATATGTTTATGAACACGTTAATGTATGTGTGCACTGTACCATAAGCATATTATTCCGTGGACATTTATATTGAAAAAACCATGAGGAATAATCATGTCTAGTACACGTGTAAGTAAGACGTTGCTCTCAAGGTCAAAAGCACTGATTTGTTAACCATGCATTTCTCTTGCACAGCAC